TAGGCAGCCCCGCAGTGCCCGTGTGTCTGGCGGGCCGGCCTACCCCGGCCTCGTCGGGCGCCTTAAGACTAGGCAGGCCTGCGGTGCGTGCATGGCTGGCGGCCGGCCTACCCTGGCCTCGTCAGGCGCCTTTCGGGGATGTGGACGCGTAGCCGCGGTGTCTGGCGGGCCGGCCTACTCCGGCCCGGTCAGGGCGCCGGGTGGGACGGGGTGGCGGGACGGGGGACTCGTGTACCAGGAAGTGGACCCCGCCCGCCCCGAGCGACGGCCCGGCGTCATTCCCACATTGGCGGCGCAGCACCTTATTACGTGCAGTAGTTGTGTCGTGGCGTTTGTCAACATTCCTCCAGCCCTGTTGCCCCGTGCGCTGCCCGCCGTGGTCGGACCGGGTCGGGTCGGGCCGCTGGGGCGGGCCGAGCCGTCTGCTGGACCGACCTTTCGGTTACGTGAATGTAGGGCCGCCTACGGACAACAACTAGAACAGCTTCGGCCAGTCCGAGTCCCCCCTCCACCTTAATCTGCCGGGACCGATACACAACAACGCCAAAACAGTTTCGAAAAAAAGAAAAAACAATTTGTTTCTTATGCGAACGGATCGGAAAAGATGCCGACACATGTAATTTGACTCACTGGCATGTTATAGACGACCTATCTCAACTGCTATTAAAAGGCAGAAAGCGCGTAGCTAACTGAAACAGTGACAATGTTTTAACAATAATATTTCTAATTTTTTTTGTTCAATTATTTCTAGTTCAATTATACTTCTTCTTATTACAGAAAAGCTGCTGTCGAGTATTGTTTCCTCGGCGGAGCTCGGCACGCACATCGGAAGTAAGTATCGGTGGGAATTGTGCGGAACCATACGCGCCACTAGAGCGCTCCCGCCCCACCTCGCTATGCCCTGCCACGCCACGCCACGCCACGCTCCGTCTCGATATGTCGCCGGCCATCACCGGAGCGACAACTGGACCGAAGTGAACTGAACTGCGCGCAGGGCTCTCGTCGACCGGTTTGCTTCTCCGAGAAAGCAGACACACCGCGCCCCGCCCGCTGCAGACATTCCGCACAGCATCGTAAAAACCGATCCCGGGGCGTATAGTGAGACGGGGGAGAGACACACACACACACACTCGAGCCGGCCGATGGATTTGAACTTCGCGCGCAACTGGAAAGATGTATACAGGGGATGATGTTTTTGTTGTTGTTTGCGAAAAGGAAAGCAAGAGCGAAATGCTCCAGTTGGATGTGTGCCCAAGGGGCGCATGGGTAAACGCGGGCAGCAGCAGGGCCGCCGTGGCCCGACCAAGGGCGAGGGCTCTTTCTTTCTCTCTCTCTCTCTCTCTCTCTCTCTCTCTCTCTCTCTCTCTCTCTCTCTCTCTCTCTCTCGCATTCTCTTCCCGGCACTCTGACCGCGTACCTCCGCGAATGAGCATGCCGCCGATGTATATGCATGTAGCGGAGGTGCGAGGCAGGTCCCCCCCGGGCCGGGCTGGAAATGGTGGGGGCGACTTGTGTGCTAAAGGTCCATCCCATAAATCCTTCGGGAGTGTCCGGCACCGGACGCCGTCGGGCCCCGCTGTGACCTGGAGGGAGCAGAAGGGAGTGCGAGGAGCAGGACACAAGGCGGAGGAGGAGGAGGAGGAGGAGGAGGAGGAGGAGGAGTGGGATAAGGACGAGAAAGGTAATCGTGGCGAGGACGATGAGGGGCGTCCGTAAAAATTATTGCATAA